GGGAGGATTCGCTCTCTATGCTGGAGTTTGAGTACAACAACGCACCGTCTGCGACGACTAATCAGTCGCCGTTCTACCTCAATTACGATATAGACCCTGTGGTACCCTCTTCAACGACCTCCGACAACCAGTTACCACAGTCGCAGCAGTTCGTCTCGGAACTTCAAGCAGCTCGTGACAAAGCAGGGGAATTCATTCGGAAGGCTAATACCGTTGCCAGCCGCTACGCCGACAGACATTGACGGAACTTACCATTCCGTGACGGGCAGATGGTCCTTCTGGACACAAAAAAACTTTGCCTGCCCCAACCCGCAAAACTGTGTTTCTGCTACGTGGAACCTTTCCGCATCATTCGGATGTTGACCCCGGTCGCAGCAAAACTTCTGCTACCGGACGACTGGAAAATCCACGATGCCTTCCACGTCAGCCTGCTCCGCCATTGTGTGGCTCCGCAGCCGTCCGACATCGCCCGCCCCAACATCGCGCCAAGTGTTTGGCCTGTGGCAGACCAGACAGTGCAGCCCTGGAAGATTCTGAATCATCGCATCAATGCGACCCCAGCTGGGCACCACGTCGATTTCCTCCTTTGTTGGGTGGATCGCACAAGCGAAGATGACACGTGGGTCCTGCCGACGCGTGCCTGACGTTGACCACCTTTCTTAAAGGGGGGGGGGTAGTGTAAGGAACTTTCCTAATTCCTCGTTGAGGCACTCCATACGCGTACAGTTCCAACTTTTCAGAGTTCAGGCTTGGTCCGACGACCTCGCCTTCCGAACGTCCCTCGCGTCGCCTTTGGGTTTCCCATCCATAAACCTGCACCCAACCATCTCGCGACTCCGCAACCTCGGCCTAGCTAGCCTTGCTAAATTATGCCTAGGCCTCGTTGTTTTCTCAGTAGTTGTAATCACTTCCGCGATATTGCATTCTGCGCACTTTTCTTTCGTACAACTCATAACGAAGGGCCCGCGGGGGCGTTCTAGGCAGTTTGTAGCCCCGAAACACCCGACGTTTTGCAAGATTTAGCGTGGTCGCGCTGCTGAGGTATGTGTTTCATGCCACAACTGTTTCTGTATTGTTTAACATGCTCGTCTGAAATTTCTTGCATGTCCTGGAATGCTTTCACGATATGTTATGCTGGTAAGGTAACGTGTTTTGTGTTGAGGTGCCAGAAGTTCCAGAATCTGCAGCAGATGTTTTGCAAGACCAACCTCGAGATGCAAGGAATTTTTTACGCGCGCTAGCAGTCACGTGGGGAGGCACTGGAGCGCCTGCTGGACGTGTTACCTGCTGAAAGAGTACCGCCATGATTTGTATGAGGTGGTCACCTCGTTCAAATTCAACTGGCTCCTTCGGGTTTTGGTGGATGTGCTGTCGGAGCTCTACTCGCTCAACTTGCGGTTCCAGCAAAGAAAGGTATGATGTGATAAATCTCTTTGAAATGTGTTGACATGTAGTAGTTCTCCCGTCCTGACACATTGTGTTGTGCATTTACATATCGACATCACGCTGGTGGGCCGTCTCGTCGAGCAGACGCGGATGCGACTGAAGTCTCGCTACAACAGCAATCAGCAAGGCCACCAGTTCGGGAGCGGGGAGAGGATGCGCCTTCCAGAGTTCATCAAGAAGCACCAATCGAAGGAGAAGCAGGAGATGAAGGCCGAAGGGGTTGATGGCGACTGAAATCCAGTCTCCTTCAATTTCAACCTGCACAAGCGTGTCTCTGAGGGGAAGAAACTCCAGGCGTTGTGGCTGCCTACTATGAACTATCGTTGAAGTTCGTGCGCGCAGTGGACAAGGAGCTGGAGTGGCGGTATCGTGACTTCGCGAACATGGAAGGCTCGAAGCTGTTTGATAAAGCTTCATACCTTCCAGACAATGACAAGCGCCTCGCTGCCTTCAAACGATGGCTGCAGCAACTCCACAAGCTCTACCAGATGCACTGCCTGGTACGAAATCCGTACCTTGCTTGAAAATTGTTTGCGGTTTTTGAATTTCTTGGGTGATTGTTGGAGAGGGGTCTTCTGTTCTCGTACTTTGTTGTTTGCTCGGCTGTTTGGTTTTAAACCGCCCTCTCCTCCCACCTTCTTCGAGTTTCTTATTGTACTCTTCTCCCCCATCAACAGGGTTCAACTACAGCAAAGCGCGGGCAGAGCTGTAGGTGTTTACGAGTACCTTGTTTTTGCAGCATCACAATGAAGACTTCCACCAAGCTCTTGCCAACATGCTGCGCGAAGATTTATGGCAGCAGTCCTTGTCAGAATCCCAACCACTAGACCATTGGGATAAAAGGGCTTGTTTCAGTGGCGGGTCACTGCGCCCATAACCCCCCAGACGAAGGCGCCTGTAACCCTCTCCAGGATCAATCGGGCATCCACAGTGCAGATCTACTGACACCCCCCCACACTGGGAGGCTCAGGACTAAGCACAGCGGCAATGGCCTACATGTGCATACACCGGGAATCGAACCCGAGACCGCTCTGATACCATGTCAGAATCCCAACCACTAGACCATTGGGATATAAGGGCTTGTTTCAGTAGCGGGTCAGTGCGCCCATAACCCCCCAGGTGAACGCGCCTGTAACCCTCTCCAGGATCAATCGGGCATCCACAGTGCAGATCTACTGACAGTCCTTCCCCAACATCATGCTGCTCTGGCAAGCAGCGGCGGTCCTGCCTCTCAGCACGGTCGAGTGTGAGAGAGGCTTCAGCAAGCAGAATTTGATCAAAACCTGGGACCGCGTCAACATCTCTGGCATCAGCCTCGACTATATTATGCACTGCTCCTTGCTCAAGTACGAAATTGACTGGTTCGAGGTGGTCGCGATTTTCAGGGGGGAGAAAGCTCAGGTGCCCCACCACGGACTTCAATGGGACTAGGGAGAGCGACATCCAGTTTGTGGGTGACAGTGGTGGTTTGCAGAGTAGCTTGCCAAGTACTGAGTGAAGTGAATATTGCATGTGAGAAGCATTGCTATTGCTACATTTATAATTAAGTAGTCACCGCTCGCTGTATTGGACTAGACAGTCATTGTAACGAAAATAGTACCCTGCGAATCAGTCTTTAGTAATAGTTACAGTGACGGCATCAGGCTGGGAATTTTTTTTCACTGTATTCGTCAGCCTAGCGAAAAAATTTACCCTAGGGAGCCAGGGTGAGACTGGGCTCAACTCTGGTTAGACAGGGTGGGCCTAGACCAATTTTGGGCCCTGTGCCCATTAGAGTAACAATGCAATTTCACTACGCAGGACCATGATGTAATGTACCGTAACTATATGTAATGTATCAGTGCTTGAAAGTGTACAAATTGCTGTTATGTTTTCCACGTATTCGTAAATACGTGATTCCTAAGTCTTCTGGTAAACCATTATCATCCATAATGATGGTTAGAAACAATATTGGATAGCGAATTATACAATTAGAAATGCAAACTGGCGGAAGTGCAGGGACATTATATACGATAGAAATTATTTACAGTCACTATGATTGATGGCTCTTATCGGAAGAACTGCCCGCATGCCTCAATCAACCATTGGTCGTGGAGAGAATTTCTCCAGACCCGGAAACGGTGATTTGCCGTTGCACACGTGGCGTCGAATTGCTACCGTGGTCAGACAATTTGATGATAATTGCTCGAGTGGTCTTGCCAGAGGTTTCCTCTGGCTTTTTTTTTATCCGGCACATTACCCAAAACCGGTTTTTAGCCCTGCTTTTCTTACATCGTTCGTGTCTCTTCCCGCAAAAACGTGGCGTGTGGATTTCCGCCCGAAATTTTAGGCTGGGTGACGTGCGCGAGGTCGGCCACGTCACCGCTCGAATACACGAGAATAATCAACACGATCATCTTGGGCGAACAGTCGCGCTCATTTTCGGTCCAATTCTTGACCAATCCGTGCATAGAGATATGAATCCCTGATCATATACTCAGTTGCACGAGTGTCCACACGCGCGACCAATTATAGAGCGCGTCTGATTGGTCGGCATTATGCGCGAAGTACTTTTTTACTTTTCGCGTCCAATCAAGCGCGGTCATGTAAGATCGCGCTCATATAAAACCGCGCATTTACCTATATGAGCGCGCATATGTGGTGCTCGAATGTGTGTGCGATCTGTTTTATTAATGTAAAACTATATTAATAACATCGAGAGACGTTCACTACCGGCGTTTTGCCATTGTATCTATATCACACTGTGCGTTCCGTTCATTTAGCAGTCATAGGGTTTATTGTATCTCTACGCATGTCGACCTCTACGCATGCCTACAATGATACTACGTGGATTTGATGTGTACTGAGCACGCAATGTCATTGTTGACCATACGTCTCATCAGTTATTATGCAGAAAGGCATCGATGATGTCATCCGCCGCCCCTGCACAGGTTCAGCAAACAAGTTCACTAGATTAATGGATGGTTTAGTGAAACTACAGCATATGAATAAGCACTAATATGACACAACCACACATCTCACCTGTTGCTGGCTCGCTTGCCAGTGCTGGGCCGTGGGACGTTGGGTTGGGATTGTTGGGAGAATTCGACTGTGAATATGTCAGGCCATCTACCCTGACCTGTCCAGTTTGCTCAGCGGGCCGGACTTGTTGGGCTTGTGGGTCAGATACTGTATGTGCCGTGCTGGGTGCAACAGATGGTGGTGTTGGTAGGACATGCGGATGGGGTGATGTGTTCTGTGAAGCGGCATGGCCTGCAGGGTTGGGAGCAATGGGTACTGAAGGGGTTGGGTGTACGGCGATAGGGGCTTGCACCTGGCTGAATGGATGGTTTGGGATTTGGTTGAAAGCAAACTGCTGGGATGGAAAATGGAGGTTGGGAGGAGGGTGGCTCTGATTGTACGGCTGCCATGCACCAGGGTTTAGGGTTGCACCAGCGTGTCCCGCGAAGGCGGCGGCTGGCGGGTGGTAGTTGCCAAACGTGGCTCCAGGGTGCTGGTGGGAAAAGGGAGGTGGAGCCTGTGTGTGTACTCCTGCTGGCGTTGGGATAGAAGGCTCAGGGAGGCTGCCGAGCACTTCTCGCCAGTTCCTCCACTCTGCCCATCGCTTGGCCTCCACTATCCTTGCAACCCCATGCGTCGTCAGTCCCTCCAAGCACCGCCTCTCCTCCACGCTCAACTCCACCATCGTTGAGCTGGAGAGGGACGGTCGGCAAATGTGGGCGGCTGCGGCATATGCTTTTGCGGCATCCAAGATCTCCGTATATCGTCCAAGCACAAAAAACTTACTCTTTGCGCTATCTACGCACAGTCGTGCCGCCCACCTACCTTCCCGTTTGGTTACGCCAGTAAAACCAGAGCTAGGAGCTCGACCACGCGCAGTGTTACGACTCGTTGTCTCAGTCCCTGTGCTGTGGGCGGACACCAAATCCACATCCGCGTTCGAGGTTGTCACACCATGCCCAGCACCCACGGCCTCTCTTGCACCTCTGTTACCATCCGTAGTACCCAACAAGCCTTTGGCACCTTCATCACGCACCCCCACTTCCTCATTGTCCCTCCTCGCACCGTCCGCCATATCACCATCTCCATCTTTTTCAAGCTTACTGTTATTCCCACCTACACCCGTCTCAACGTCAGCCACAGGACCCTCGCCATGTGCACCTCTCATGGTGTCATGTGTGCCAGCGTTGTTCCCTCCCACATCCCCATGTCCCTCCCCTACAGCATCCCCTCCCGCATCCCCATGTCCCTCCCCGGTAGCTACCTGTCCCACATCAACATGTCCCTCTCCTGCAGCGTCCCCTCCCACATCACCATGTCCTTCCCCTGTATCGACACCGCCAATGCCCGGCTGTGGAGTACGGGACAGCATCAGCTCACGCAGTTGCCTCTCGAGCTTGGCAATAGCCACTGCCTGACTCTCATTGCGAACCTCCAGCCTATGCATCCGCTCTGCCATCTCCGCTCTCCACTCCCTATCCTCCACCTCATCACCAATCACCTCAAGCTCAGTTGGTTTCCTAATCTCATTGCCAGGAGGGATCTCATGCCCAGCTGCCGTGAGCTCGCCGATCAGCCGTCCTTCTGCCAGGGCGCACACATCCTCCCGTATGACACGCCGGTATGCCAGTGGGCTCATGCTGAACCGCACCCCATGCTCAGCACCTTCGAAGCATGCCTCCACTAGCGCTTGAATGTACTGGCATACGAAGATGCCGCAGTCATATTCATTCTGCTGCAGAGGCATTTGCCACGCCTGCAAAACACCAATGCCACATGCAGGGTAAATGGGAACAATAGAGTACACGATCATCATTTGACAAGGGGTGGCATGTAGAATCATTTGACAACGGGAGTTTGTAGCATGTTTGACGAGCGGTATTCTAGTCAACTCACCTCCATGACGTGTGGCTTGAAGCGCCCAAGCCTCGCCTTCATCTCTTCTATCGTGCGGTTGCCATGCTCCTTCTCGAAGGCCATGCCAAGCAAGATGTCTCTCGGTAGGATTTGTGATGCAAAAAAAGGCGGATTAGCGTGTGGTTTAATGAGACAGAAGCTAGCAGAGTTAAGTTGGAGTGCTTGTGTGGGAATGGTCGTATGCAACCCCTTACAAAAGCTTACTTGGTCATGTTCTTGAAAGCATTGCCCCCCACAGCATGCATCCCGAAAGAGTCGTACAGCAGCAACCACGCAGGCTCTGTGGTGTTGTCCTCGTCGAGCGGGAGAGCCACAACTCCAGGGTTGACGACAATCATCACACTGAAATGAAACCTGCATCGTTCGTTAATCCACAACATTTGTCACTGCTTAGGCATTACAACAGCGGAAGACATTAGAGTGTTGGAGATACTAGCGAATCGTGATACTGCAACTTACCCGCCATAGATTGGCATGGCCAGATAGTCGTAGCTAAAGATCGACGGTCTCGTGACACCTTTGGCTATCTTGCCTCGAGAGCAGAAGTAGTCGTAACTCTGACTGTCCAACGCGAGCCACGTCTTGCCGTTGCTCAACTTGGGCCGGCGGATGTTCAGCACTCTGCGTTAAGACAGCCATTAAATAGGTCAAAAGCAAGAGGGAGTCGTTTGCGTTAGAATCACTAAACACGGGTATGGCAACAAGACCGGCCATCGTGATAATGGCCCCACAACTCCAGCAAATGATACAGCATGTCCGCGGTATGACACTCACATGTTATGAAAATCTATCAAAGGCTGCGTGATCGGCTGGTTGTCGGTGATGTGCAGAGCGTCGGCCAACGAAATAATTGCCGTCATTCCGTGATGATCACGAATCGCATTGGTGGGAAATAATGGATGCTTTAACTTGGCCGCAGTAGCTCTAGTCTCCTCATGAGTATCTAGAAACGGGATTTTAACATCTGCCGTGATTTTTGCGATAAGGTCGTCCGGCGGAGAGTGTACCAACGGTGAGTCAAACGGGGGCTCCACGCCGTAATCGTGAGGGGCTACCTTATTCAATACCACCGGCTCAATAGTCGTGGTAGACGAATCGTGTGCATGCGCCAACTTCAGCCTATCGCTTCGACGACGCCCGTCATCCTCGCCAGACTCTACGTCGGGTTGTGACGCATTTTCCCGTTTTCGCGAGAGTTTCCCCGCCGGTGTGTCATCACGGGTGTTTTTCGCGGCCTTCCTACCTCGAGCGGCGCGACCTGACATAGTAACGATATGCAACGCGCCGTCCGCAGCTGTGATATGTAATTACGAGGTGATGCTAGGTAGAGCTATCAATGGACTAAGACCTAGGAGCTATAGTAGCGTCACTACAACGCAAACCCTAATTTTTTTTGCTGTGTTACTCAGAGATAGGAACACGATCGGCTTGAAATTGATCGGGTGAAACACGCCGTGGTACAGGTTAGCTAAATGGATGCCGGTCATTTCTGTACCTCGCGTTCGAATCGATGGTAACTCGATTTTGTGAGCGATGTGAAATTGTACAAAAGTGTTATTTTCAGCTCGCGATAACAACATGTGGCGCGAAACTCATGGTTGCGCTGTTACGTGCGAGCCCAAATGTCAGCCTGTCGGACCCCGGCACAGAGTGAACACGCATCTCTTCAGAAGTCCACACGACGGTTGGATTGCCAACCATTTCCGACAGTATCTTCGACCAATGAAATCCGCCTAGTAATTGATCGGTCAATTATACGTGCAATTCGACCAGTGGAATGCGCGTTCCTGCATGACCGGTCTTATGCACGCCTTATATGGCCGGTCATAAAGCGCCATACGCTATTTAAAAACGCGCGTCAGCGCGCCTTAAAAGGCCTGACGACGATACATAATTGTGTACATGTTCAATACTTGTAACTCAAATAAATTGCAATTCATTTTGCACAACGACAATGTTTACCCTAAACATACAACATTAGTTTCCAAATGCGCGACATACACGCAATGTGTTTGAAAATGACAAAACAACGACTTGTTGAACTAGCAAGGAGATGGGTACACGTAGGAAACTTCCGGTCGCACGGCAGGTCGACGGGATGCTCTGGAGACCTCAGGGTCGAGCTGTAGGTCCTGGTCGACGTCCCACCCATCGCCCAGACCACTCAGTTGCAGCTGTCGAGCTCCCTGGTCGACAGCAACACCACAGCGGTCCCCTGCAGCGCGACGAAGCCTGTCGAGCAGCTCTCCACAGTGAACAGTCGGTTGCTACTCCCGTACATCCGACCAAGTCGCCGGCGTTGCCCAAGCGAGGGCGGGGCCAACACTCCATTCTTGTTAACATGGATATGGCAAAAAATGGAAGTGTGGATACGTGAACAGTATCGTTAACATGGGGTATAACAGTATGGGTTAGGTTTACGCATCCCAACCAACCTTAGTCGAACCACCATTCCGTTATTGCCAGTATTGTATCTAAGGGATTTAATATTACCCATGAGTGTGTTACATGGGCTGTCCCGGGTGGTAGTATGTTTAGGGTTGTGGTGTATTTATGTGAGGGACATGAGATTAACGACTATGAGGTTCTTCTAACATCTTGCTACTTACACTCCGCTCAAAATATGTTTCATCCGTGTATACAATATGTCTATTCCGATGCACAGATATGCAATTTCCTTATTGTAGTGAACCCTAATTTCGCGATACTAAATCATATGATGGAAATTAGACCTCAAAACGCACTGTTTGTATTAATGGTTGTCAACATTGTTAATCTAATCTGCATCCGTCCTTGGCACGTAACGTCGGGCTCGCGTGGTAACATCGTACCCTAAATCCGGCCAGTGGTCCGGTAATATGATCGTCGGTTAACTACATGTCTTGTGCACGTGAGTATATGACCGGTCATATGCGCGTGCACATATGACCGGTCATATGTGCGTCTGCATTTGCCCCGGCATTTGCACGTGTGAATACAGCCGGTGGATTGCGCGTGTGCGTACTACTGGTCAAGGACAGTAATGTTTATGGCCGGTCATATGGAGTTTCATGTATCTTCAACTCATGGCAAATCGTTGCTCCTTTTCTCCTAGTAGCAAAGAGCATGCAACGTACCACATTCCCTAAGATTCTTATGTAGTAGTTAATATTCAGCAATCAAACTATCCCCGTACCACTAGTTTGCTACGTGATACACACCTGACCCCCCATATTTCCCTTTACATTTCTTCCGGGTATGCTCCGTCGAGCCACAGTCACCGCACTTGTATCTCCGTTTAGGGGCTTCACGCCTTCGGTTTGATTGTGGCCGCCCTGCTCCTCTCTGCACAAAAATAGGAGGATCACAAACTCCCTCCTCAACTGGCTCGTTTTCAGCAATAACCGTGTCTACACACGAATACGGAATGAGAGACCCATAAGTCCTTTTCCAGTTGTCGGCCTTCCAATACCTGGAAATCAAGGGTGTAGGATTCATTCCCCTCTCCCGTAAGTGTGCAAATGCATGTGAGCATGGGAACCGATACTCCTGCCAGTTTTTGCATTCGCACAACCTCTCTCCGACATCATTGTTGAAGGATAGAGGACGTGGATCCAGCAGGGAGCCCTTGTTTTGAACCTTTGCATTGCTTGGACCGTTGTGTGTGACCGTGTAGCCACGGCTTCGCATCTTTTTCAACTCAAACCGCTTCTCACCCTCGACCGTCAATGTATGCTGCCAGTTTAAAGATCTCCGTTGTCCATCCGAGTAGATCTTTGCCATCCAATCCCACATGCCCGCCATTACGTACGTCACGGGCAGAATACGGATCTTCTTGATGGCGTTGTTTATGGACTCCACCATTTGGCTGCTGTAGATACCAAAACGACATGTAGGGGCATAACACCGTGCCCATTGCTTGATGAAGACTGTAATCTTCTTTTTCCTCTTGTACATGGGGCCATCCTGTCCCGTGCGAACAATTATACCCGCACCTTCCTCCATCTGGTCCCAAGCCCCTTGCTGAGCATCCGCATTGCCCAACCCACCCAACCCCGTCTCTGGATCGCCGGTGACGTCTGCACTTCGTGCTGCTTCGTTGCGCCGACCCATGGGGGGGGGAACACGGTGCTGAAGTGTTGGATGACGTTGTGTTTGGCTCTCTTGCGTTGGCAAATGAGGGTCGGTTGTTGCCCTGTTGTCGAAGACACTGGCCCTTCCAACTCTTGCATCCCGTTTCCCTCTAAGAATCTCCTTCCGCCTTTGCCGCATCTTGGCCGCTTGTTGCGCAGCTGCGTTGGATAGCGTTGGATCAGCCGGCGTAGAGGTGGGATCTGAGCACTGGCCATTATCTGTACCGTCCTCATCCCCGGAATCCTCCCCGCAGCTGATCTGACTCCCGTCCTCCACCTCGAACTGGTCATTGAACACTTCTGGTGTGGCATCTGTTTCCGGTTGATTATCGTCCAAAGGTGCCGGCTCATCTCCTTGGTTATCGCCTCTGAACGAAGGGAGCATAGATGTTGGTGTGGTCTCTTGAGCCGATGAATCGACAATGTCGGCAGCCGGCGAAGGAGGCATGGAGGGAAAGGTGCGGTTTGTGGTATCATCTGCCGCCTTTGTTTGTTGCTGCTCTCCCCTGCTTTGACGTCGTCTTTGCCGCCGCAACTCCATCCTCGCCTTTCTTGCCTGTTTTGGGCATTATTCATGCTCCTTAACTCATCTCCTGACTCCGGCACGCTAGCTCGTCGGTTGGTTTTGCGTCGGCCACCGGTCTGTTGCACACGACCTTCTTCAACCCCGAAAAGATAGTTAGCCATTGCGGCGCACTGCTGCCGGCAACGCCTCACAAGTTTCCCAAACTTCGCCTTGGTGCGGCAGTTGGCGAGCTTCTTGAAGAGGTCCGAGGCGTTGGGCCCAAACTTTAGCACATTTTGCTCCAAATGCCAGCTGCAAAAATAGTGGGGAAGCTGTAATGGGAACACTTCTTTAACAGCAGGAATCAACCCCTTGTCGCGGTCACTAATAAGGGAGGCATTCTGTGTGGTTGGCCAAGATGGAATATGCTTCAACAAGTTCTCACAAAACCACTTCCAACTGTCCTTATTCTCACTCTCGCATAGGCCGTACGCGAGTGGAACAAGCTGGTTATTCCCATCCTTAGCAGCTGCAACCAAGAGCATAGCACGCTGTGCCCGAATGAGAAACGTGCCATCCATACCAATGACCGGTCGGCAGAACCTTAGGGCAGTTTTCGATGCCGATGGGGCGGCAAAAGCACGGAAGAAAGCGTGATCCTTCGTCACAAGGTCGAGCGTTGATTCAGGGTCAATCGACCTGAAGCGTTCCAACAGGCGAGGGATGTAACGAAACGATGTTTTCCAATCTCCAAACCGCTCCTTCAACATCTTTTCCTTGAGCCTGCGATGATTGGTGATAACGTGCAAGACAGTATAGGCATGTAGCACGAACATGAGAGACATTGTGTGGGTAATCATGAACATTTCTTCATGGTACACGGATGAGATGGAAGGTTGGGAACCACAATAGAATGCTATAATACTTACCTCCAAGATTGATGATAATTGATGTCAGGACCGCCGGTCGACGCAATCTGATCCTTGTAAGTCCCGGGAGGGTGATGTGGAGCGGCGTGGACAAGGTTCCCATGATGACGCTGTAGATAAGCTACTTTATTTGTAGTGTGGTTCACGTAGCGGTCCCGATCAACGGGTGAGCAACAATGAGATGTTGGGGCGGACAGTTTATCAACACGCCAAAACCCACCCGCTCCGTCAGTTGAGTACTCACACCGCCACTTGCAAGCTGGTTTACGTCGCTCATGGTGACTCATGCATATAGTGCGGGCTCTGTTTGGCCTACTCTCTGAAACCCTAAAACCGAAGTTGTGGGCTACGGAATAATCTTCCAACGCCTCGTACAGGAATTTCTTCGAGGAGTACAGTTGACCTTCACACAACGGGGCTCGATCGTTTATCACTAATGGTGGCGAATGATTATCTTCATCCGTCATGTTTCGGAGCAATGGACGGTACATATCACTCTGCTTGGGCTCTCCAGTGCCAACAAAACAAAACTCCGTATCTTCGTCGCCTGAGTCGTACTCTGTGTTAGTAGTATTAGATGACGAACCCATTGCGGCTAGTAGAAATGTTCCAACTGAATTACCTCCTAGAAGAGTTACGGGAACACAGTAGGATGTCAACCCTAAAACGACGACAGAATAGGGTGTGTGGGGTGTGTTGCATCACTTTTTAAAAAAATGCGCGGGATATTGACGTAGCGTTTCAATTTGACTCTAATTGGCCACAGGTTTTGTTTCAGCGTGTGTACCTTTTGTAGGATTCGTCAGTTTAAACAAATAATCCATTTCCAGTAGCGCGATCTCATATGGGCGTGACCCTATATGAGCGCGCCTGATTGGACGCGCAAGGTCAGAAAAGGCCCCGCGCATAAAATTGACCAATCAGACGCGCTCAGTAATTGGTCGCGCGTGTGGACAGTCGTGCAACTGAGTATATGATCGGGGATTCATATCTCTATGCGCGGATTGGTCAAGAATTGGACCGAAAATGAACGCGACTGTTTGCCCAAGATGACTGTGTTGATTATTGTCGTGTATTCGAGCGGTGACGTGGCCGCCCTCGCGCACGTCACCCAGCCTAAAATTTCGGGCGGAAATCCACACGCCACGTTTTTGCGGGAAGAGACACGAACGATGTAAGAAAAGCAGGGCTAAAAACCGGTTTTGGGTAATGTGCCGGATAAAAAAAAAAGCCAGAGGAAACCTCTGGCAAGACCACTCGAGCAATTATCATCGAATTGTCCGACCACGGTAGCAATTCGACGCCACGTTTGCAACGGCAAATCACCGTTTCCGGGTCTGGAGAAATTCTCTCATTGGTCGTGTCAATCTTGGATATTGTTCATCGAACCAATCCCAAAGCACCCGATAGTGTCAAACAGTTCATCCAAAAGTGACGGGATTCCAATCACCCATCTACTCTCGCAGGGCCGGGAGGTGTGTTGTCTATCCTCAACCAGACTCTCGAAAATAGGAATTCACGTTCGAGTTCTTTTGGATGAGGTTCATATAGTGAGCTGCGACGAGCCCTTCATACTACCCCGGCAAGCAGCAACGTATAGAAGATTACGGCTGGTTCTATACTTTGCCGTACGACTCGTACGAGAGGAGCACATCAATTCGGCGAAGGGTGTAACGGCGGAGAACCGGATGATGGCGGAGAATGGGGAAAACGCGGAGGGTAAAGGTGGGGAATCAGAAGAAGGGCGTGGAGGTGGAGTGCATAGGGCGACGAGGCAGGACGACGTGGCGATGCGCTTGAGTCGGATGATGGGCGCGGGAGCGGGGAGCGCGGGGGAATTATCATCGGAACAGCTGATGGGCGTGATACGATGGTGCGTGCAGCGTGCTGTGGAGGTCGACGTGGACGCAAGATTGGCGGAGAGGCTTGGGGAGGTAGAGCAGCGAGTGAGAGCGGAAGAGAGGAAGAGGACCGACGAGGAAGAGAGGAGGAGGGTTGAGGAGGAAGAGAGGAAGAGGGTTGAAAAGGAAGAGAGGAAGAGGGTTGAAAAGGAAGAGAGGAAGAGGGTTGAAAAGGAAGAGAGGAAGAGGGTTGAAGAGGAAGAGAGGAAGAAGAGGAGGGAACTGAAGAGGGAAGCGAGTCAGGCACTAGCGTGGGCGGCGAGGCGGGAGGAGGAGTTGAAGGCAGCAGTGAGGGAGGCGGAGAGGGCGGTGACGGGGCTGGAGGAGAGCGTTGAGGAAAAGGTGGAGAAGATACTGGTGCGTGTGGCCATGCTCCAAAGCGCCATGGACGGTGGGGAGCTCTTTCAATGCGCCGAAGCAGAGCGCAAGCGAGCTCGTATGGCTGATGGGTCCGCTGCTCCCCGCACGAGGGAGGTGAGTACTGTCATAACGTGATTAATTTGCATATAATCCCTATTTGGCGCGTTCTGTGCCATGTAAGACGTTACAAATATGCCTCGCTACCCGTTCTTCCCGTCGCCCCTACCTTCCTTCCTTCAACTCTCTCCTCGTCCTCCGTCCGTCCGTCTCTCCACCCACCATCCACCCCTCCTCCCACCGTCCGTCCATCCTGGTGCTCCGTTGCTCGTTCACCTACTCATTCCCCCGTGCCTTCCTGCACCACTCCTATACCAGGAAGCATTTCATCTGCAAGCCCTTAACCGTGCACAGGCAGCCCCTCTCGCCGTTACCCCACTCGGCCGTTCTCGCCCCTTTGATGCTCCCCTACTCCCTGTTGCCTGGCAGCACCTGGCAGCCCTCTCCACTTATGCAGAGGCGGTGAGAGGGAAGTCACAGGAGGTGAAGACGCTGGTGCGTGGGCTGTGGACGAAGCATGTCTTGGTTGGTGGGGAGAAGCAGCTTGAGGAAGGAGGGGAGGAGGACGAGGAAGAGGAAGAGGAGGTTGAGGAGGAGGAGAAGGAGGAAGTGGAGGAAACAGAGAGAGAGCAAGAGATGGAGAGAGGGGAGGAGATGGAGAGAGGAGAGAAGGTGGAGAGAGAGGAAGAGAAGGAGAGAGAGCAGGAGATGGAGAGAGCAAGGCAGAGTGAGAGAGAGGAGGAGACGGAGAGAGAGGAGAGAAAGCAGAGAGATGAGGGGAAGCAGAGGGAAGAGATGAAGAGGGAGGAGGAGAAGGGGAGGGCGGAGGAAGAGAGAGAGGAGGAGAAGGAGAGAGAGGAGAAGGAGAGAGAGGAGGAGGAGAGAGAAGAGGAGATGGAGAGAAAGGAGGAGAAGGAGAGAGAGGAGAATGAGAGAGAGAGGGAGGTGGATAGAGAGGGTGATGTGGATAGGGAGAAGGAGAAGGAAAGAGATGAGGAGGAGGAGGAGCATGAGCAGCAGGAGGAGAGAGAGGGGGAGGAGGAGAAGGAGGAGAAGAAAATAGAGGAGGAGATGGAGAGAGAGGAGGAGGTGGTGAGAGAGGAGGAGGTGGAGAGAGAGGAGGAGGAGAGAGATGATGATGAGGAGGTGGAGCAGATGGAGCAGGAGGAGGAGAGTGAGGAGAAGGAGGAAGAGGCGGTTGTACAGGGGCAGGAGCAGCTGAAAGAAGAAATGGAGATTGAGACGGGGTTCAAGACGGACGAGGGGATGAACGGTGGGGATGAAGCTGTCCATCGAGTTGTAAAGGAAGAGATCTGGGAAGACTTGCCTGAAGGGCGAGGTGAAGGGCGAGAGGGAGGGCTAGAAGGAGGGCGAGGGAAGGAGCGAGGGGAAGAGGGAGGGCTTGAAGGAGGGCGAGCGGTAGAGCGAGAGGGAGGGGAAGAGGGAGGGCGGGAAGGAGGGAGAGGGGAAGAGCGAGAGGGAGAGAAAGAGGGAGGGCGAGTAGGAGGGCGAGTAGGAGGGAGAGGGGAAGAGCGAGAGGGAGAGAAAGAGGGAGGGCGAGTAGGAGGGCGAGGGGAAGAGCGAGAGGGAGGCCAAGCGCGAGAAGGAGGGCAAGCGGAAGCGGCAGAGGAGGAGGAGAGGGAAGGGGTTAATGCAATGAAAGAAGAGGGAAACAATGATGCTCTGATACTGGTGAGAAGTGAACCTGGAGTGCCTGCACACGTACTTGCCCCCCATTTTTCGTGCTCAACATGGCCAATTGCAATCGTTGACTCCAATTCCACAATCGCCCCTTTGGTTTGTTCCAAATGTCGTCTCCTTTTGCTCTTCTTTCTTTCCAATCACCATTTTCCCCCCCTCACCCTTCCCCTTCCATTGCACTCCTCCCCTCTCCTCCTCACAGCAGGATATTTCACAAGATGCAGGGTTAGAGGTCACAAGGGGACCAGGGCAGACAGGTGCACAAGCGAGGGGAGGGCAAGCTCTGGTGCAAACCTCAACTGTGCTACAGGTCATGACAGAGGAGGCGATGAAGGCAGCAGCACAGACAGAGATCGAGTCGTTGCTACGCTCTCTCCCACCAAACGAGCGAGAGCGTGCCAGTGCCCTGATCGACCAGGTCATTTTCTTCCTCTCACTGCAGCTCCCCTCAGCAGCGCACATCACAGTCCAGGACCGCAAATATGGCTTTGGGACCCTGGGCGACGACCAACCTCTCCACTTCCTCTTTGCCCTCGCTCCCTGCTGCCGTCCCGACCTTCCTCCCACTCTCACCGCGCTCACTCTCACTGGTCTCGCCCCTGTCTCTGCTCGCAACATGGAATGCATTCTCCGCCTGCCCTCTCTCACCTCGCTCACCCTCCGCCGCACTTCCATCGCATCAGAAGCCGCGCCGCTGCTGCGCTCCTCCTCTCGCCTACACAGGCTTGTCCTTGACAGCCCTGAAGATTCCGACCCAGTCTTTGAACCCCATTCTCAAAGCCCCGTAGGGCTACATGACAACCAGCTGGTTCGGAGTCTAAAGGAGCTGCACATCAGTGCAGTCACTGATGAGATTCTACAGCAGGTTGGCTTGCTGGTGGGCCTTGAGGCCTTTTCCTGTACGTGCAGTGATAGAGTGACCCTTGAGGGATGGAAGCACCTCAGTATGCTAACCACGCTGAGATCCCTGCAGGTCGCCCCCGAACACATGTACCGCCATGACTTGGTCCTCACGCTTGTCAACGATGGCCTTCCAGAAGTCTCCATGTCCTTCCGTGGTCAGTCATTGGCAGACTCGGGTTTCCACGCAAGCGAGTCCCACACCCGTGTGGGTGGCAGCCTGTGGCAGGTGCTGCCTGGTCTGCAGCGCTTGGAGCGACTCGCCTTGCATGCGGTGCAGCGTGGGGAGCTGACCTGGCGGTCCCTGTACCGGCTCAAGTTGCTCAAAACTCTCCACATCAGCAGCAGTTCCCTGGGTCGTTCCACCATGTCGCCCTGGCTGACTTGGTTGACGGACATGAGCCTGGCAGGATGTAAGTTTGACGCAGATGCAGCCATGCTCTGTGTCACCGAGCTGGTTTCTCTGGACCTATCCGGATCCTCCATCAGCTGTAAGGGTGCCAAGCAGCTGCAGTCGTTTAGGCGCCTGCAGTGCTTAAAGCTACAGCAGTGTGTGAACATCCGGGCAACGTTTGTGCGGCATGTGAGTGAGGTGCCGCAGCTGAAGATGTTGGATCTTAGCTTCAATCCCTGGCTGCAGCCTAGATGGCTGCGGCCTATCTTGACGGGGAAGCGAGTAACGATGCTGCTTGTAAAAGGGTGTTTTACGCAGACGCAGCTAAAAAATCTTCAGCGGTCTTGGATTGTTGTGGAACCGACGTGAATTGACCTGTTCTTTTTAAATGCGCTCTGCTTCTTAGCGTAGCATGGAACAGGATGTGCTGGCATGGCAGGTGCTGCATGGCAGGTGTTGCATGGCAGGCTTTGCATGGCACGCGTTGTGTGGCATGTGCTACATGCCATATTTTGCACGGCATGTGTTCCACACCATGTGCTGTGTGGCATGAAATGGGACGGATGGAATGTTTTGCACAGTACCGTATATGATATGTGGCATTTGGTGAATGGCATTAGTAGCATGGCATGTGATGTACATCATGAATGTAATATACTGGATGGCATCTGACGCATGGTGTGTGTTGCACAGAATGTGTTGCGTGGCATGTGATGCATAGCATGTGTTGCACAGAATGTGTTGCACAGAATTTGTTGCACAGAATGTGTGTACGAGTTTAGACATGTGTCTGTTGTGGTCCAAGGTTTCGGGGTTTTCTTCTAAACAGGAGGGATTTTTTTTTACGGATTTAGTGCATAAACAGGGGTACGGTCGTGAATCAAGACTAAACAGGCAACTAAGGGCCTCCTGACTAAACCTCGTGTCAGAACATTGTGTCAGGGCACCCCCCCAACCCTCCTGACACAAGGCTCTGACACCAGGCTGCATGGATCTAAATGCAAGCTGCAGGGAACCCTACTAGGTACACTATCCCTCAAGCTCACAGAGCAGCATGTGGCACGGGCAGTGGTATCAGTAGCCCTTGGGGCGGAAGAACACGGAGAGGCCATGCGCCTTGAGGAACATGCCCGTGTAGAGATCGGGAAAGAGCACCACCCCCTGCACGGCAGCCGTCGTGTTGCGCGGGCCCAGCACGGTCTTGCCCGCATTAGCGCCCACGGAGGGGTTGCGCTGCAGCAGGTCGGTGGGTGGCGCCTTGGTGCGCAGCGGCGTGTTGGGCTTGAGGTTTCGCAGCTGCGTGGCGGTGAACTGGCGCTGCAGCACGTTGAACTTGCCGATGGCCTCCATGGCCGTCGTGTTCTGCAGCGTCTTGATCCCCACGCCGTACACCGCCTTGTTCGTCGGCACCAGCAGCGTCGTGTTGAACAGCTGCGGCAGCTGCGCGTCGGGGTACTTCACTGTTTTGGGGGTAAGAGAGAGGGATGCGTGGGGGGGAGAGAGGGGAAAGGAGAGAGTGAGTGAATAGGCGAGAGCTGGCGAAACGGTGTCATCGCAGAGAACCTCTCCGACTCGTGGTGTTTTTTCAGCTATAAATGAACCGGACCATGTTTGTAGCGTCTCGGTCCGTCACGCAGAAGAAACCCTAACCTAACGTCCGAGATGCGCTTAATTTAAGAGCTTAAGAGAATGGGTGCCGGTAGCTTACTAGAGAAGCGACGATAGGGTTTCTGAGGAGCAGTACTCACGCATTTTATCGACGCCTTTCCCGAACGCCGAGTATTCCTTCGTCTTGGCCAGCACCGCCTTCAGCGCGTTGAGTTCCGCCCGGAATTGCGCCACCGTCGGTGCTGCGTACGCGTGGCAAGCGGCGAGCAGCAGCAGCCCCGCGATGAGAGAAAACTTGTGTGAGCGCGAAATTGCCATGATAGATTCGCTAGGTGCTGCAATTAGCAAATAATAGGATCTGCGAGGCTTAGAGTGCGCGAGGCTATGGAGATGCTGTGAGATTCAAAAAGGAAATGTGTATTTCCACAGCTAGGGGCTGTCCAGTTGATCGGCGGGGTGGCAGATATAAGGAGCGATGCTAGAGATACTCTAATCGAAATCGATGTGAGAACGTGATAGAAGAACTTGTGTGATCTGGAGAAAGCCTTGCCATGCGGGCACTATGCGTTTGCTGGGGGATGTGCCCCATGCCATTTGTATCAGATGTGCCCTCGGGGCTGGGGTATGCGGTTTGCTGTTGTTTGTTATGGGTTGTAGATTGGCTTGGCGGGTGGCGGTGTTGTTGGTCGCTGTTTGCTAGGGGATTGGAGGGGCGCGCGAAGCGGAAAAACAGACGGACGAGCAGGGGGAGTTGACGGCCAATGGAACGATGGCTATAGACGAGCGGTGCCTCTGTGGCTCCACAATTCCGGGGCCAAGTGAGAAACCGGGCGGTTCGATGACGCCGACAAGACGCGTCTGTCCAACCTAGCGCGGGTCGTACCCAACCCGTCTAGCAAGCGGTCAATTCGAAATGCGATCCAATTTTCGCAGTGCGTGTTGGCGAATGCGATCTTTTTGGGCAGAACCATGCGGCTGCCCGTGTTTAGGGTTGGGGCTCCCCTTACCGCATGCCATCCAGATGGGGTTTATTTGTTTCTGACCGCGGGCAGATAACGACCACTCAGCTTCTTCCACTGGGGATCGCATTCGCGAACCGCGCTGGCTAAATTGGATTGCAGCTGAAGTTGTCCCTCTAGCAAGGAAGCTCCAGTCTGTCTTCAGCTGAATCATCTTACAATCAAACGCGTTGTTGTTAAGGGTGTTTCATGGATGGGTTTCATGTTAGCAGATGTTAGGAAGGTACAACACGTAACACAACACATAGATTTCATTGTTAGTTTATGTTTAGAAATAGATATACCTAGTAACCAGTTCAACAATAACAGGGAATATCTCCCGCCTTAGGCACACGAAACTGTCAATAACAGGGACTGCCTTTTCCCAGACACATGCAATCGCGGGAAGATAAATGCGGGACCCACAGAAAGCCCCCTTCTAGCTCCTTCTAGTTTTGCCTCGCGTCTTTGCAAATTTTACGCAGTCGTGTAGCGGAGCAGGCGAGGAGCAGGAGTTGACCCCCCCCCCCCCCCCCCCCTCGAAAACGAGAGACCCCAGCTGGCGCCAGCTGCAGATGACGCCAGCGACCCGCGTATTCGAGCTAGCAGTGGTTCCCTCACTTGACCCCAACCCCACTCTCGGTTCGTAGACCGGTTCTGTTCGGTAACCGATGGAACCCTCGCTGGCCGTCGCTTCGCCGACGGAACTTGTCCGCGAAATTTCGCAAGCGGACGGAAACGACGCCCATCTCGGCCGCACTGCACCACTCTCGCCTCTTCGGACCCGTTTCGTTTCGCGCTCGACCCGGGTGACGTGTCGAACGCCCCCTCCTTATGCAAGCAAGAGAAAATCTCGTTGAGGCCAATCAGGCCCCCCCCTTCCAGCACGAAATAATCCCCACCCGTCGTCGCGGAACGCGCCCTGCCTTGTAGGCCTTGCACCTGAGACTGTCTCGGTTGGAGGGATGGCTACCAGCTAAAGTTGATGGCATGCTCATTTTGTTGCTGTTTTCTCCGAGTTTTCTCTCCCGATCCTTGTTCCCAACTTTACTGCGCTCCCGCTTTCCCAACTGCTAGGCAAAAAATTACGACGGGCCGGCTCCCTACCTGGCGTGAACGAGCCGACGGTACGCCGCTCCCTCATCCTAAATGCAGGCGGCCTCGACGTAGAGGTGTCCGACGACCAGGTGAAGCAGCTTAGCGAGGCATCGAGGACGGAGTTCGACGAGAAGTTGATCAACGTGGGCGTAGCGTACGTGTCTTGTCAAGCATTATCTGCTTGCCGTATAATCCTGTCACTGACTGTGCCCTAGCTTTCCTTGCAGCTTCTGTCAACGGGAGCTGGTGCTGAGAAGGAGGGGGTGCCGAACACGAAGGTGATGGCCAGGGGAGGCCTGACGTTGGGATTGAGTATGAATATGAGGAGCAAAAGATTGAGGTGGGTACCTCGGAGCAAGCTTCGCACGGAGTGAGCGGCCCGGGCGGCGATGCGAACGAGGACGAAGGCTCGAGCTCGGCCTCGAGCTCCGGCTCGAGCTCGAGCGATGAGTCGAGACGACAGCCAGGGCGAAGGAGAAAGAGAACCTATAGGTGGGGCGAAGTGTATGGAGGAGCACGGTGGAGTGGCTCTCGGGGAGTGGGTGGACGAGCAGGCCCACCAAGTCCCTGCGAGTACGAAGCAAATGGAGCAGAAGGCGACGGGGGACAAAGGGGGTATCGAGGAGCAGGAAGGCTGGGCGGCTGCGCAGGAGGGTGGGGCAAGAGGGTAGGAGCAGGAGGGCGGGGCAGCTCCGTAGGAGGGTCGACGAGGAAAGGAGCGACAGGCCGTCGTAACAAGGAAACACCGTGCAGTTGCGACTAGCGGTGGTAGCGGACAGACATGCCCTTTCACGAAGGGCCCTTCGACGGCGGGCCATTCGAGGCGATTGTACCTGGAGGCGATCTCGTCGACCTACTGCAGAGGGTCGCGGAGGGCAAAGCATCGCAGAAGAAGCTCGTCGTCGATGTCTTTGCGAAGCACAGTGAGCAAGCCGGTATCTTCAGCAAGCTTGTTGCGGATTATCGGGCATGCAGGAAGCTGTTTTAGGAGACGTCGCAGAGCATGCTGAACCAGTTCGCCGTCGCCGTAAAAAAGTATCGAGGAGGAGAGTAAGCTGTTGGAAGATGCGCGCACTAAGCTCGACGAGATAAGTGGGAAAATCATCGAGGGAGAGGCCGACGCGATGACAAAAGCGAGCGAGGACACCATCGCGAAGCAACTGGAGGGGGTCGAGGGGCGGCTGGTTGCTACTGTCCTGAAGACTTTCAAGAAGGGCATCGAGCAGGTTTTATTCTACTCCAACCTCCCACCCAAGAGCATGAACGAGTTGAAGGATATTGTTACAAAAGGGCTTGAAGACGCTGATGCTGACAGGTTGGAAGTCCTCACCGAAGCGTTGGCAAGAGGGTTTAGTGGCTCTGCGGGCTCGTCGACGCGGGCGCGTAAGGAGGGGTTGGCTGGCGTTCGTAGCGGGGATGTGCCTCGAGGTCTTGTGCCCTCCGTTTCTCCTTCTTCGGTGGGCGGCCACGTCGACAGCCCGGTAGCATCCCCACCGTCGCGTGCACCTCATCCCGTCGCGAAGACCAGTGAGGGCACTGAGGTCTTCGTACTCCACCAGTCGCCCCATTCAAAAACCTCCACAGCACCTCCGAAGCCTCCGCGTGATGCGGGGCATGCTTTAGGGCGTCGGGAAAAAGGGTGGGAAAGGAGTGGTGGCTCGGGAAAAGAGTGAGGCCCAAACCGAGCCCGTTGCCTCAGCCGGGAAAGGAGCCGGGGAGAAACGAGGTGCCCCGGCCCCGTCCGGCGTTACCGCTAAGAAAGGTGGGGAGACATGGGGTGATCCCAACCAGGCCATCACCGTCGCGGCGTCGCTGTCGAAGGCACCAGCTGCCTCAGTTGCGCTGCTCG